ACAGCGAATTTATGCTGATAGGGAAATAGAAACGTTCTTCATCAGGAGAGCGTTCAATTATAGGAATAATCAGCAATCAAAAATTTACATGGACCTGTTAATAAAAAGTTTAAACAAAGCCAGTTACGATGGATTTCTCAATTATTAAAAAATATATATGAAATTAAAAGATCCAACCCCTGAATAAAGGCAATAAAATCCTTTGTGTTTGTCCCCCCCCTTCTCCCCCCAAGTTTAATGTAAGAGAAGTGACAATTTGTTTGGTGTCTTTAAAGAATAATTTGTCTCTGTTATTTAATAGAGATGCATGGCACCCGGGTTCTGGAGTGCAAATGAGCCCACTGAGTGATAACCATGCAACAAGCCTCTCAAATCACTTGAGGGGGAGACGGGGAAGAGCAGGAGAGAGAGAGAGAGAATAAAAAAAATATTGCTTTTTAATATTCAAAAACAGTTTGCAAAATTTAATCAAAGCACAGCAAAAGCTAACATTTTTACCACTTTGACATTTTTATTAGCGCTTTCATAAATTTTTAAAACATGAATGGAATTAGTTTAACAACAAAAAACTGCCTGAAAACATCTGGAAGAGACAAATAAATAATACAAAATAAATAAATAAAAGGCAACTCTTGTGAGTAAAATTAGCATGTGGAAAATGCAGTCGCTGCAGAGTGGTTAACGTAGCTTTCAGCCCCGGCTGCAACCCCAGTGACCCAGGCACGGAAATTATTGTGAGGTCATACATACGAGATGATGACATCACCACGCGCTGAAAGCCAAAGGGAGAAGGAGGGGTGGGGGGTTGGGAGAAAGGGAACAGCACGGATTTCCATTTCACATAGTATACATGAATACACTGCTACAGGGTGAATGACTCTTGATAGCTCCCGACCCAAGGACTTGGGGGTGGAGGGCGTAAAGGGGGCAGACACAGGGTAGGCTGTGCAGTGGAGTAGGAAACGTGGGAAAGGCGCGTCAAATGAACAGAAGAAGAAATAAGCGTGACATTTAGCCTTAATGCAAGGTTAAAGTGGACAAATCCAGCAGCAGGGAATGCCAAAGCGTATGGCCCCCCCCGCAACATTAACCCTGCCACACGACACGCTACAAACATGCAGTGGGGCAGGCAGAATTTTGTTTCCTGATTTTGTAGTGTACGATTTCTCTGCCTCAGCACCGCAGGAAGGTTCACAGTTTCTCTGTAAATACGCTTCAGGTAAAACTGTTCCGATTTTGCAAAGGTCCCACATACCACTCAGACCTAGTCCCATTCTCAATCTGAATTCACCGAATTCAGCCATTTGAAGGATCACCCGAAAAAGCGAAACTGGTGGTCAGAAACGGGATTTTGTTCCTCCCCCTCACATAATCCTGAAATGGCCGAACACACTTGGCTCGACATCTCCCTCCATACCATCACGGCATAGCAGACCCCAGCACTGCGAGTTTCGGCTCAGGAGGAGAAGGTTTTAGCAAGTCTGGGCATACATGAGAAGGGAGTTACAATGAAAGCGTTTTGTAGCCTGCACTACAGGGAGGGCTAGCTAACAGCTAGTGTTCTCCTACCTGCCAGCCTTCCATTCCCCAGCTCGAGGACCCCTTCGTTCTCCAAAGGGCCGAGCCCCTTCAGACCCCACTGACTTCAACGGGAGCCAAGGAAGCGCTGCAGCTTTTCGGGTTGGGCTCTACATGAGGCGCTACTGTCCAAAGGTGTACCTCCATCCCAGGATGAAGGGAAAAGAAATTGGTCTCTCCCAGATGGAGAGACAGCCACAGACTGTATGTGTGTTGCCCTGCAGAGAGCAGTCCTAGGGGAACGGATAGCTCCTGAGGGGCCCATCAAGTGCCCAGAGGTGAAGAAGGGCTGAAAGAGAGCCTTGCATGGCGCTGCCCAAGGAGCTGATGCGCAAAGGTATCAGTCATTTGCTTCTAGACCGGAGGCAAAAATCTCTTTCAGGAGGGTCGGATTAAAACAGACTGGGAAAATAAAAAGCTGAACTGAAAAACCTGGAAAATGTAATGCTATCAAGAATTAATACCGGTCTGTGGCCACAGAGAAAAAAATGACTAGCAACTTGGATGTCTTGGGAGAAAGACTAACAGGTTTATTTTGGCTTATTTGGTCAGTTTTTCAAGGGAGTGGCGAGGACCTTCCCAAAAGGCTGTTTATCTGAATGCTCCTTAGAGTGGAGATTTTTCCAGTCTCTGGCGATGTTTGCTCCGCTGGTATCTAAGGCAACAGATACCAGCCCCATGATATGAGCTCCACTCCTCACTAACAACGTTAGCCAGTCCTGCAATGAAATTTAACCTGTGACACCGCTGTACTTTTCATTTAAACTTTCATTTGGAGAGAAGCAGTGTTCGGAGACCCTGCAGTTTGTCCTACTAATAAAGACAAGTGTTGGGGCCTTTAAAGGTGCCATTCATCTTTTGCCTTTATTAAATTCAATTTTCTTAAGCCCATGATGCATCATGAAATTAGGGGTTGACATTCCTGCGGAAACAAAAATATCTATCAAATATAAATAGGAAAAAAGCCCTCTGTTACCAAGAATGTATGGCTTAAAGTTGATCTGTTTCCAACTTTAAAAAAAAAAAAAAAAAACAACCAAGCATATGGCTTGTTTTAGATATCCAAAATGTTATTACAGATCTAGAATTTCATTAGTAATTATTATGAAATGGTGAGCCAACCCTCCCTCCACCCTGACAGACTGCGATTCAGAAAAGCAGCCAGGCACTCATATATTCTCACAACTGGCCTGGCTAACTCTGAAGTGCTAGGTTACATCTACACTGTCAAACCGGTTTTGGGGGGAAAACATTAAAATTACAGGTACACTGGAAATTGGTCCATTTTCGCTGAACGTAAAAACTGCCCAGGATCGCCACACACATCCGCATTTAATTCTGGCCTTAGGGAGCATTAATGCCAACTTCAGTGTTTCCCAGATCTAGTTCCACCAGCATTAGTCTCTCCCATCTCTATCTCTTTTTTAACTGTTTTCTTATAGATTTCTCACAGCCCAAGCTGAACTGGTAAATGCAAACATGAGGAGGAGTTCGGAATGAGTTGGAATCGTTTTGGAGATATTTGGAGATTGCAAATAGCTATATTCTACCAGGAATACGAACAATCCACTGTGTACACCCATTCCCACTGCAGTTATATATTTTATTTAGCAGGGTAGCCTAACTTGAAAGGCAACCTGGAAT